TCGTTCCAACCAGATTTTACATTGGCCAGCTTCAAGGGGGGAGAGAGAAGAATAGAGTTACAAAGCTATTTTGGAACTGGGAAAACAAACTTGAAGAGAAAAAAAGAATCTTGACTGTCACAGAAGAACTGTGGTTTGTAAGAGAGTTTTCAAACTAGAAAGACTGTACAAGACTATTTCCTACAAAACAAAAAGCACAAGATACGTTAATTCTAGAAGAAAGCACATGGCAGAGATTGGCAAGCATCCAGTTCCAAATCCAGAACTGCGCAGCTGTGTGTATGAAGCAACTAAATAGACAGAAATAACTGATCTGGTGAGTAACATGGAATTCATAAACGATATTGCAGAGAAAAGTAAATTGCTGATTGCATTTAATAGCAGCTATTCAGATGCTGTTTTGTGGCAATCTTTATACACACAATGGGAAATTGCCAATACTGAAATTGACAAGAAATTGTTTGTTAATAAGAAAAAACAAAAGATCAGAAATGTTATGAAACTAGTCTGTACTTACAATGCAAAATTTAGAATTGGCAGAAAAAGAAGTAGATTAGAATGGGTTAATAGAAGACAAATCAGATTTAAATGAACAGTGCAACAAGGTAACAGAGAGCATATGCTGTAACTTTGAGAGAATGTCAGAAACAGTCTGTGAACTAGAGGATAGAGTTGAATTAAGAAATGCTCTTTTTTGCCAGCTTAGAAATGAAGTAAAGCAAGTGTGTGTTAATAACCAATAGATACTGAAAATGTATCCTCACAGTGATTTGCAGAAATGTAAATTTCAAGACAGAGCTGCAAAACTTAATTTGAAAATCCATGAATAATTAATGAAAATTGTGAAATGTATTCCAGTTTATGACACGTCAGTGGATGCATTTACTAATGCTGAAATGTTTGAGTCTAATTTAGACAAATACAGCCTAAATGACGAACAAAGGAATAGACTATTTAAAATATGGCTGCCGACTCAAATAGCATGTAGGCTGACCATGCCGCTAAGATTTGAGGACAATGATTAAATAATATATGGAAATAAGCAAGACAGATTAGCACCATTAATAAAATTAACCATAGGGAATGATTTTGCAGACACTGAAATGTTGGAAAAACTAAAACCACACATTGATGAGGATATTTTTAGTTTTCTTGTAAAATTTGAAAATGCATATAGACTTGTTGCTAATTTTCTTGAGGATCAGTTAATGAATTTGTGAAAAAATGTCAAGATCTAGATCCAACTGCAATTGTAATTGCTAGAGAAAAAAAGCACTTTGAATGACATTGCTTTATTCTTAGATAACTTAAGAAGAGAAAACAGAAATGAAGGGGTTAAAATGACTTGTGGAATTAGGCAGAGAAAGAAGTGCAGACCTGACACCCTCATCCCCCTCCTCCTCCTTTTTCTAGGACAGAGTGTAAAAGAGTGATACAGACAGCTGAGCCCCTCCCAATTTGCTCAACTAAAAACTGAAGAGTTAACAATAAAAGGCAGAATATAACTCCTAAAGTTATTTGTTTTTGGTGCAATAAACAACATTATTTAAGGTCTTGCAGATATTTTATCCGAGATATCAAATCAAAAGCAAATGAGAAATTAAATTTGTTGATTGCAAATTTTGACAGAGAAAATACATGTGGAGATAAATCAATAAGGGCCTGTCCTTGTAAACTGATACTCAGACAAATAAGAGCAATTTTAGCTAAATTGAAATTAGGAGACAGACAAGCAATGCAGTGTAACACAGAAAGTTATAAGAATCAGATAACTTCAAGAGATATGAACAGTTTAGGGAATGAGCAAGGATATGTGTGCCAACAGATGTGCACAGGCCGATTCCAGAATTAAGAACAGCACAAGAATAGAGATCTGTGTTAGTTTGTTGTTTAAATGAATTGTTAGTCTGAACTGTTTTTTCATTGTTTTTATGTGTGTTATAAGAAAGTATTAGGTTAATTAATTAAAATAAAAATTTACATCAAGTTTTTAAAATATGGCAGAATGAAATACACTAATGTAGCAGTTAGGAACATGCAATGTATGTTATATTGGGTGTATGCGATTATACAGTAACTCCAATCATTTTACAGAAGAAAAAAACAATGTTGTTGCTTCTGAGGTTGATTTAAAATGAATGAGAATTTAATGTCATGACTGATAATGGATTACTATATTTTGCAAAGCCTGGACATACATATGTTTTGACTATATAGAAGACAAAAGTTTTAATAGGATAAAACCTAGATTTGCAAATACATTTGATGTAGGAAACAATATGTCTTTTGCAGTTTGTTTCATGTGACAAAATGGTGCCAGTTTAAGACAGGATGGCTGCTATTCTAAAGTATAGTGGAAAACCATGTGACATTTGATTAGGTTATACCTCCAGATTATTAAACAGTTTAAAAGGGGGGTATGATTAATAAAAGGTTTGGCAAATTAAAATGTTCAGAAATATTTTGATATAAAATAAATTTACAGATTATACATCACATGACATAAATGCAATGACCACTAGATGGTAGATCTCATGAGAAGAAATGAGAATGTTTTGGAGTCCATGTAATTCAATGTTAACCCCTTAAGGACGGAGCCAAATGTACACGTTGTGAACAAAACAAAATGTAAACAAAACCTGGCATTTGCGCTACGTCTGTCCAACCGTAATACACCTCTTTCATAGTAAATGCACCCACCCTTATTATATATCCTTTTATTCAGGTGAAACAGGGCTTTCATTTAATACCAAATATTTAGCTATGAAACATAATTTAATATGAAAAAGATGGGAGAAAATAAGATTTATTTTGAATTTTTTTAGTTCTACATTACATTTTAATGGTCAATGTCATACTGTTTGCTTTTACTGCAATAAAATACACATTTGTATTCAGCAAAGTCTCACGTGTAAAACAGTACCCCCTATGTACAGGTTTTATGGCATTTTGGGAAGTTACAGGGTCAAATATAGCACGTTACATTTGAAATTGAAATTCGCCAGATTGGTTACGTTGCCTTTGGGACTTTATAGTAGCCCAGGAAAGAAATTTACACCCATAATGGCATGTCATTTGCAATAGTAGACAACCCAAGGTATAGCAAATGGGGTATGTCCAGTCTTTTTTAGTAGCCATTTGGTCACAAACACTGGCCAAAGTTAGCGTTAGTATTTGTTTGTGTGTGAAAAATGCAAAAAATGCCAATTTTGGCCAGTGTTTGTGACTAAATGGCTACTAAAAAAGACTGGACATACCCCGTTTGCAATACCTTGGGTTGTCTACTATTGCAAATGGTATACCATCATGGGGGTAATTTTCATTCTTGGGCTACCATAGGGTCTCAAAGGCAACGTAACCAATCTGGCGAATTTTAATGTGAAAAAATGAAACACAAGCCTTATATTTGATGCTGTAACTTTAGAAAACACCATAAAACCTGTACATGAGGGGTACTGTTGTACTCAGGAGACTTCGGTGAACACAAATATTTGTGTTTCAAAATAGTAAAAAGTATCGCAGCAATAATATCGTCTGTGTAAGTGCTGTTTGTGCTTTAAAAATGCAAAAAACGTCACTTTTACTGGCGATATCATCGTTGTAATACATTTTACTGTTTTGAAACACTAATATTTGTGTTTAGTGAAGTCTCCCGAGTAGAACAGTACCCCACATGTACAGGTTTTATGGTGTCTTGGAAAGTTATAGGGTTAAATATAGTGCTAGCAAATTAAATTCCCTTTACTCTCGGCATGGGTTGTCAGGCAGGTCCAGCTAATTGTAATTAATTAAGATACCTAATTATGTAAAAATATTACATAAATATATATGTAGAATTAATATATGTATATATATATATATATACATATGTGAATATATATGTATATATATATATATTTTTTTTAAATATTTTTATTTATATATAGGTATATATATAGTGATATATACGTATATATTTATGTATATAGATATATATATTATTTTGTTCTACGTGTATTTTGATATAAATGTATATATATATATTAGTATCACAATACAGTTAGAACGAAATAACACACATCTATATATTTTTTAATTATTTTTTTTATTTTTTTAATAAAATTATTTGACGTATTTACATATTTAATTTTTTTATATTATATATAAATATATATATAACAATAATTATATATATATATATTTAATCAGTATCAGTCTACGTGTAATTTGATATTAATATATATATATTAATAGTAAAATACACCTAGACAGTGTATGTGTGTGTATGTATATGTATATATATATATACTTAGATCATATATATATATATATTATATATATATATATGATCTAAGTATATATATTTTTTTTACACTTATTTAACTTTTATTTATTTTATTTTCAGCCAGCAGGGGGACCACCTGTCATTACAGGCAGCCCCCCTGCTGGCAATACAGCAGGCAGCTATCCCGGCCATGTGAATGTGAGGTCCTCGCAAGGACCTCACTCTCACATGGCCGGGGGGGCTGCCAGGGGGTCGGACGTGCCGCGGGGGGCTCCCTGGGAGTCCCCCAAACGCGATCGCCGGCGTGGGATCGCCGGCGACCGGGTAAGTATAGAAAGACCGGAGGGCGTACTATTACGCCCGGCGGCGTTTAGAGCCGCCTAAAATAGGGCGTAATTGTACGCCCTCCGGTCTTAAGGGGTTAAACTGTATAATAATAATAATGAAATATAAACATTGTAAGCCACTGTATTGATGCTGCACATGTTTTTTGTTTTAATGTAGGTAAAGCGTGACAGATCCTTGTGGCAGTAAATTAGGAAAGAATTCCTTTAGACAACTGGACATCGACTGTTGGAAAGAGATTTTTCATCTGATCTGCAAACTGTGATGGAAGATTCTACAGAGTTAATTTGATACAGAAGATTAACAGACTTACAAAGAAATAAAAGATTGGCACTAACATACAAATTAATTCCTAAATATTAATGAAGAAGAAAAGAGACAATGAAAAGTTATTTAACAGTTATGAGTGTATTAATACCAAAAGAGAGTACTTATAACTATATCACACATGGAGTAAAATTATGATAGGGTAGTATTATGAAAAGAACTATTATATTATGACCTATACATAGGATGAGAAGTATCAGAGGTAGAAAAAATATGAAGTTGATAAAATAAGGATCATGGTTACTTAATACTACAAAGATTGAGTGCAATGGTATTTCATAGATTCACTAGAATAAATATTTTGTTTATAATCGAGGTGAAGTAAAACAAACAATGGTAACATAAGGAAGAAAACTAAGGAAGGATAATTTATATTAAGGATAATTTATATTGATTAATATGAAGTAATTATATACATTAAGAATGCCTTGGATTTAAGAGTTCAGAGATCCAAGAGGAATTGAATTGAAGTTTAGTTAAGAGTATAGTACACAATTATATTTAAACTAAGTCTATAAATGTATGGACTAGGGAGAATAGGTTTCTGGATATGACGATATCCAATGAATTGAATAAGTTGTTATAAGTTGTTTTATGATTACCCTGAGTTTGTTGGACACAGACTAGGAATAAGAGTTTCTGGGCAGTATGACCCCAAGTTTTGTTTATTTTATTTTAGTCAGTTGAAGTGTACTAAGGAATATGGATTGGTCAGAACATTAGGGCAATCCTGCTTTTAAGATGTATTTCATTAATAAGTCATCACAATGCTAATGAAGAGAGTGATGCTAATGAATTTATATTATTCTTTCCAAGTTCTTTTTAAGTAAACAATGTTTTTGTTGAATGAAAAATTAGTTACTACAAGGTGGAAATTTAGTGAAAATTATAATTATGTAAACAAAAACAAATCTATGATAGATTTCTGGGTGGAGAATTTCTAGAACAATAAGTATTGTCAACACCATGAACATTATTTGAAGAATTATTATAGAACTTCATGGTTGATAACACATCCTTTGAATGAGTCTTATAAGTAGTGTTGATATATTTCAGGTAGTTAGAGCCTACTGAATATACAAATTAAATACTATGATTGTAAAGTACTGATACAATCACTAGGTGGAATTAATGGTATAGGAATGTAATTCATGATTACAAATGACAAAGATTTTAAGGTTGCTAGAAACCATATGATTCATGGAAATATAATTGGACAGGATATACAAGCAATACATGTATTAGTACTTAAGTAATATCAGGTATTGAGAATGAAAATACTATACTATATATGTCTGTAGGAATATGATAGTGATACATAGTTATTATCTAGAAAGTTATCTTGATTTTGTTGTCTACAAAAGACATGACTGTACCTGAGCAGGTTGATCTTTCTCATTGCTTTACATTGTTTATTGGATCAATATTTGTAAATATTTTATTTTATTCATTTATTATTGTTATATATGCATATATTATTTTCAAGTAGTTATGATATAACATGGATATGGATATCAATACATAGCTGAAACAGAGGGAGTTTTGAAGTAAAGTAAGCAGTATGAGGGATAGAAACTCGACCTTCTAAGAACTCTCATATAATTTAAGTTGTGACTACATCTTGTTCTATGTTCAATGACTGTGAAACGAGTGATGTATGAATGGACAGGTTAGTGACATTGTGTTATGGTTTTAAGACAAACCATAAACAGAGGGAATGTAGAATATTGCATATTCTATGTTTCTATTGATTATATAAGGATGTGTGGATTGACATAAGTAACATATGGTCTAAGTCACAAGGCTTTCTTTGTCAGAGAGCTCTGGAATGTGGATTTGGGGGTCTTGTCCTTATATGGCTAAAGTTATGGTCTGATGTCATTATGGCACTTCTATATAGTAACAGAGGGACACGAGGTCGCTCTCTCTTGGCTCTTCGCTCTGTACAACGATGTAACTCTTCCATCAGAAGTACAGCAATTACCATCTGCTGTTGAAATCCATTATCCTGTAACATCCTAATAGAATAAACCTGAAGAAACCATAAGTCAGATTGCGTATTAGTACTTTTCAATAATATAGACATATATTATTGTGGCGAGCATTTGGCCCAAGACTGTATATACAAAAAACGTTTATATATATATTTATATATCAATCAACATTAATGATCCAAACAAGATTTTACAGCGTACATAATTTGTAAAGTTTGGGAATATAGCACATTTTGTTGACCACTAAATAGGAGACTTCTACAACAAATGTTTGTCAGACGCAATAACTACTATATTAATGCATAATCTAAGAGCTAGTGAGTTTATAGCATAGGATTCATTTTGTTGAAACAAATATACATATGTGTTTTATTGAATATATATGTTGTGCATTGTGACTGACAGAACATATTTTGTTCCAAATTGTAGCATTTATAGGTTTAACTTTGTTTCTGCACAGTTTTAAATGATTGTTAATAGTAGGGGAAGATTGAATAGTTGTGCTGCATTTGTACTTTTGATGTTTCTAACATTTTTAATTGCCCGTGTGCTGCATTGTCCCTCTTGTTGCATTCAGCTGGAATGAAACTGAATCTATTTTACTTGTTTCTTAGATGGTAAATTGTGTGACTTCACTGTATTCCAAGTTTAAATAACAGGTTATTTTTTGTTTTTGGTTATCTTTTGTCTGTTTTAACTATTGAATTATGTGTAGGAGCACTGGGTTTACATGATAAAGTTACCTGGACTAATACAGTGTGGTGGGTATTGTTTAGCCAGGTTAACATTTCCATTTTCAGACTGGAGTGTGTTTTATAGCAAATGAACGGTTTGTATTTGGGGTAAATAGTATTATGAAGTAAAGGTTCCTATGTTAGATTGTTATATGGTTGGGAATTATCATTGTGTTGAAGTTACAGACCGGTATTTTCAGTTTCCATGATCTTCCTCTGAAACATTCTGCTTATTTGTAACAAAGGCAGAAGGGTGGTTTTGTGTTTTGCTATCTGTGGACATTTGTTGTATTGAGACTGTAAACTATTTTTTTTTTTTAAGGTTAATTTAATTAAGCTGTTGAAGTGGTTCAATCACTTTGACACCAGTTTCTTTCTTTTTTTTTTTATTAGTTCCCATTGTTAAAAGCTCTTTTAGTTTTTTTTTTTTTTAACTTAGTCTGTTGGTCTATTTTGGTTAAAAACTCAGGGAGAGCTCTGTTTTAAAATGTCATTTCTAGGTGCTGTCAGGGCTTTCCTGGGTTGGGAGTCCGGCAGGCAGAGATGTATGCTCACCCTTGCAAGTAAACACAGGCCGAGGTGGTCAGGCAAGAATTCACCTGGCCTGTGAGTCGGTGCATGGCAGGATAATTCTCCAAGTCGCAGTACAGGAACGGATAAAGCAGGAGAATTGTCATGGGAAGCCAAAGGTCAGAGGATGCCAGAAATCAGAATAAATGAAACAACAAGCCAAGGTCAAGAGTAAACTGGAGAACACGAAACAGCAGTATGATCACCAGAGTCAAGGAACTGACACTGCCTTCTGGGAGAGGCAGTGTTTTATACCTGGCTAATGAGACCATCATCAGGTGTATCATGAGAGACCGGAGAAACTCAATGCATGTCCAGCCTCCAGTACTGGATGGTACTCGATTTGCAGCAAGATAACTTAGTAACCACTAATAAAAACGAAGATGCTTTAGATGAGAGAGATTGTTTTAAAATAGCTGCCCTAAGAACAAACAAAATGATTGAGATGTTGGAGAAGGAATTAAAGGAAATGGAAAAACAGAAATATGCATATAGTGCTAAAATCACTGAACTCCAAAACTGAGTCATGGAATATAAAACGAAAACTAAAGAAAACACAAATAAATGGGATGAGGAGATTCCTAAAGTATGCTCCAGCCAGTCTTATTGTATATCTGTAAGCACAGAACCAGTGCTGAGAACAAAACACAATGGGAATGTGCCACTTGTAAATTGTGTCATGTATAAATAGAGGCATAATTTCTCGGCATGAAACTATAATTTTGCCTCTTTATAAATCACTGGTAGGACCACACCTTGAATATGCTGTGCAAGTTTGGGCACCTGTTCTAAAGAAAGATATTATGGCACTAGAAAAAGTGCAGAGACAAACTACAAAATTGATAAAAGGAATGTAACATTTTAGTTACGAAGAAAGGTTAAAAAATTTAAATCTGTTTAGTTAGGAAAAAAGGCGCCTGATAGGATAACATTATACAAATATATATTCGGGGCCAGTACAAACATTTTTCTGGAAATCTATTCAAAATCAGGGCTATACATAGGACACAAGGTCACACATTTAGGCTGGAAGAGAGGAGATTTCATCTAAGGCAAAGAAAAAAGTGTTGTTTTGTTTTTTTTACAGTAAGAGCAATAAGGATATAGAATTCTCTGCCTGAAGATGTGGTTTTGTCAGAGTCTATACAGATGTTTAAACTGCAATTGGATAAATACTTGCAAAAACATAACATACAGGGATATAATTTCTAATTAGTGGGGTAATAGCTGCTTGATCCAAGGAGACATCTGACTGCTATTTTGGGGTCAAGAAGGATTTTTTTCCTATTTTTTTTTGCAAAATTGGAAGCGCTTCAGACTAGGTTTTTTGCCTTCTTTTTGATCAACAGCAAAAACATATGTGAGGAAGGCTGAACTTGATGGATGCAAGTCTCTTTTCAGCTATGTAACTATGTGTCCCACAAGCACCTATAATAATAACTGAACATTTGAATGCAAGAAATGACTACTAGCTTCTTTAGGCAGACAAGGCCTATGTAAATAACAGACAAACAACATTTCCAGAAATGGTGGGGAGGTATTCCAAATAACTTTTAATACCTTTACACGTTGGTTTATGAGGGGAGCAAATAGAGCTAAAAAAGTAGGTCTTAACTTAGAAGAATAAATAGAACTGTTAGAATATACAATGGGTTCTTTGGCTAGTAGACTATTGGGAGTTAATAACAGTGTGTCTGATCAGGCAGGAAGAAGTGCTTCAACTAAATTATATCTACTCAGCATAGAGAAAGAAATAGAGAATATTACCATGAGGCCAACAGATGGTCCTAGAGAGGTAGCCCAATGGTTATTTTTCTGGTCTACATTGCGCCAGCCACAGCACCCTATGATGTTGGGTTCACCAAAATACATAACTAAAGTAATGGATGCCCTTCCCTGGGAGTGTGAAGAATTTGTCAGGCTTTTTGATCCAACACCAACAGACTTAGAAATAGTACTAACTAGAGCTGACAAGTGGTGGATCAAATATGCTTTTACAGAACAGGCCTGCTCTGTTTCAGCCATAAGAACATTCAAGGTCGACTCTGGTAGAGATATAGATGGTAAATGGAGAAAGCAGAGGTGTGATGTACCCCAGAACAAGAGGGATAATGAGAAATGGAGACCAAAATAGGACAAAAGATGGAGAGATCCCCAGAGGGACCATAGGAATAGGGATAGTGCTAAAGAGAGCAATGTAATGGGAGATAATTGGATAAATAGATGGGAGGAGCCTCAGGTAATCAACAATAATTGGAATAATAACTGGGAGAGGCTAAAAAGGAGAGATAAAAACTGGGAAAATCACAGTTGGGGAGAAAAATGGAGAAACAATAGAAACAGTTATTAGGAGAATAATTGGGGAAGAAACCATAGATGGGATGAGCATCAGATCAAAATATCCAAATATGTGCATTAATAGTAGTTTGGAACCGTTTTAGAAGAGCATTTGTTAACACAATTGGTAAAGTTCTAAATAGATATAAAATAAGGGGGAGTATCATCATTTTTATCGTGTTAATACAACCAAGCCAGGATATTTATCTCCCCTCCCATACTCTAAGTTGTTTATTCAGTTTATATATCAATGGAAAGAAGGGAATAGAGAATGCTGGAATCTGAAGAGACAGACTGAGAGATTGGAGGCAGACGTGAAAGCGCTTAGAGAACAGATGAGAGAGGAGGGAAAGACTGATCAATTGAGGGTCACCAGCAATTAATAACTCCCTTAATTTTTGTTGTCCTCTACATCTGTATGAATATTTGTTTGTCTTTTGCTTCTATATTTTATCTGTCTCACCATTATCTCGTAACTTAGAGGACCGTAGTTTGTATTTTTTTCTTTTTTTTTTTTTTTTCAATTCGTATTTTATTTTATTGAACAAAGTCTGGGGTAGGGTGGGGTACAGAAAGGAAGAGGGGAGGGGGGGGTGGAGGATAATCAAATACAAATTTCTTTCAGGTTGCTTGTTAGATCTTCTTAAGTACACATGTATATAGACACAGTTTAGCTTGGCACGCATACATATTTGATCTAAGGTATCATATTACATAGGTACAGAGATACAAGGGTGCAGTTGGTTACATTGTTGTGTGTTGTATAGTACCGTAGCTTGTTGTCGCTTGAGTACTTTTACGCTAATTTATGCTGTGTTGTTATTCTGAGTATTTGTTTTGTTGTGAGTGGTACAATATGTCCTATTTTGTGCCCTCTCATCGTGGTGTAAGTCTGTTTACGGGCCTCGAGCGATTAGGGTGACAACAACTTATGGTCGTTGGCTTCAATCTATTGTGTCAATCTCTAGTAGCAGTAGTAGTTAATCTCTATTAGCAGTAGTAGTTATGGCCTCGTCTGCGTTCCCCTTAAGAGTTACCCATTCTGTCCATCTTCGCCAATTAAGGAGTGTGGTGGAGGTCTGTTTGTGAGTGTGGGCTGTGAGCAGATCATATCGGAGGTATTGCCTAATTTTGTGGTGTAGCATTGTGGTGGTAGGACATTCTGTTTGTTTCCAGTGACACACTATGAGATTGCGGGTTGCTAGGATCATCATCGTTGTCAGGTGTTTGTCCTTGTAGGGTATTGAGTTGGGGTATTGGAGGAAGAGAGTCAGCAGGGGTGTGAGTGATAGTTGTTTGATCCCCAGTTCTTGCCATGTCTGATGGACTTCCTTCCATAGGGGCGTA